TGAAATACTTCAAAAGTTGTTTGAGATTTTCATTTAATTTTATTGAATAATAATAGGCCTTACTTTTTTGAACATTTCTGCATTGTGCGTTGAATAAATTCTAAGCATTCCCTGTCAACAACTTTAAAAATGGTTGTCTTATTGTCTTATTTTTTTCGAACTTTTTCGCATGGTGCGTTGAATAAAGTTTGCGCATTCGTTGTCAGCAACTTTAAAAATTGCTTTCTTCTTGCCCTGATGTCCTATTCTCTGGTATGGGCTTCACACTAGCCCTAAGCCACTCACGCTTCGGAGCAGCTGTTGTTTTGTTTGTATCTTGACCATTTTTCATGTTGGTTTTTCCCAAACAGAGCCTACTATCCTGCAGCAGTTAAGCGGCTCTGGCTACGACCTCGACTTGGGCTGCGCTTTCGGCTCAGTGTGTCAACTTCTAGCCAACTGCTAAGCTGCTACAACGTTTGCCTCCTCCACATATACACACATAGCGACAGCTTATTGTTATTTGCCTTTGACTTGAGTTTTTGCTATTCCTGCTGCTGCTACTGCTGCTTCTGCTTCTGCTGCCAACAGCCTCACAGCTCCTCTCGGCTTTTGTTATGGAGCGCCAAAGCAACAAAAAGCAAATAACAGCAACAACAAGAACAGGAACAACAACAACAGCAACATAGGAAAAAATAGCATTATTATTTTGTGACGCTTGCACGTACGCCCGAGCACCTTGGCTGCCCATTCAGGTTTGCCTTTCATATAAAGTCTTTGCTAGTCCTGGTAGCCAGACGGGCTGCCAGCTGCCTAGTTGCCTACTGCTGCCTGGCTGGCGCGGCTATTAACCCAAATCCCCCGAGTGCCAGTTGTTTTATATTGTATGCCTCAATGCGTCGTCTACAATGCCGACTTCAACGCCCGTCAAGTGCCGAGCGGAAAGTTCAACGGCAGTGCCCATAAATAAAATATAAATTCATATTAATCATACGCAACGTGTGCCGTGCGCATTTAAATTGGTCAAACATTAGAGTTGACATTATTATTTTCAACTCCGCCATGCTTTTTCTCTCTCCTTTCTGCAAGCAAACTTAATTAATTGCAAATAAAAATGTTTACCGAAAAACACGAGCTACCATTATTTATGCAACTCATTTATCAAACATAAGGGTATAAGCCCCCAAAGTGTTGTCTAACGTGGAAAAAAAGGGCAGAAACTACAAAAAATGAAGCAAAAAAGTGCAAATATGGAGCAGTGCCCACCAAACATGCATACAAAAAATTGCAACATGAAACTGTTGTAAAAATATTTTTTAATTAAAAATGTTTGCGCGTTGGCCGAAAAACAAGTTTCTCAGTAACAAAACAAGAGAGAACGCTACAGTCGAGCAAGCCCGACAGTGTAATACCCTGTACCCAGGTAAACTTCCGTCACTGAGTTATATGCGCCCATAGCAGCAGCAAAAAGAGGAAGAAGAAGAGCGAACTTGTTGCTGCAGTTTGGTGGGGTTGTACTGGCGAGAATTTGTTTTGCTAATAACCTTTCTTAGAATTGACCGAATTGAATAAAATTTTATACAACAGTAGACAATTATATATAAATTATGTGTGCAAAGTTTGGTTTAGGTAGCATTTGAATTGTGGACGCTATTGACGAAATTCTGTAGCGGGGGAAGGGGGGGAAAATTAAAAAAAAAAAAATAAACTCGTCCTTACTCGGACCTAGGAGAATCTGGATGCCAACTTTGGTTATTCTAGCTTTTATAGTTTCTGAGATCCTTGCGTTCATCCAGACGGACGGACAGACGGACAGACGGACAGACGGACAGACGGACGGACATGTCTAGATCGATTTCTCTCGTCATGCTGATCAAGAATATATATACTTTATGGGGTCGGAGATGCTTCCTTCTGTATGTTACATACTTTGCACAAACCTAATATACCCTTTTTACCCTACGGGTACAGGGTATAAAAAGTAGAGAAATGAAAAAAATTGCAGGCGGATTTTGTATTAGTTGCCGGTATAGTTGTTGCCGTTGGGATTCTATCCCCAGGGGTGTTTTATGCGGTGGCCATTACAGAATTTTTGTTTATTGAGGAGAGAGAGAGAGCTTTAAACGCTGCCCTGTGAGCGCTTAAGGGTTTAGGGTTAGAATTTGAATATGCGCGCATTTTTATGTGTAACGCGAACAACAAGAAAAACAACATAACCAAATGCCTGGTATTAGGGACAGAAAAAAGGCGGTTAAGGTTAAACTCAAGGCTACGCAATAAAATTGTTACAAATTCAGGGTTGCCGCAAATATAATGTGTTTGGGCTTAAGTGGGGAAAACATTGAAAACTTGTTTGAATACGTTTACAATCTTGTTGATTTGTAAGTGAGCTTTATTTGTGAATTGCCGCACTTTCTTGCAGAATTCCCAGTGCTGTCAAACACTCGCAGATGGTTTCATCTAATATTTTAGTAATATTACATTAATTTCTTGTCTTGTGTTTTTTCTTGCTTTTTAGTTTTGTTATTTTTTATTTATTTCGAATTTAAAAATGTACACAATAATTTATATTATTTTATGAATATAAATTAAATAAAATCACAATTTATTTATTTATATCCTTGCTTGCATCAGAATTCTGTCTTCAAAAGCACGTTTTAAGAAAGATTTCGTATTGCATTTTATACCCCTTGGCAACATTAAGTATACGCAAGTTGGTCTCTAGTGTTGCTATTTTCCGTTTTCTTAAGTGAGCCTGGAGTTACCCAATCCTATATGTTCGATTGCTTCTTGTTCCTGGGCTCCATTTCCAGCTTCTGTAACCTGCAATTATGTCAACCTTTTTTGCATGGGCGGCTACCAAGCATTGCTTCCAGCTGTTGAGAACGCTCCAGGGGAGATCAGTTTCTTTTCGTGCTCCTTATTTTTGCTAGAGAGTCCCTCTATGTCCCGCTGGCTAATATTCCAGCGAACTTAAAATTTTCCCGGCAGTTAACTTTTCCACAACAAGCAGGGGCTCGCCAAGACATTTATGCTAATTATTAAGTTAATGAAATGCATATCTTTTGCAGTTTTCTTCAGCAACATTCACTTTAAAAACGCTCTAAATTGCAGCAATTCAAAGTTGTGAGGTCGACCACTCTTATATTGAAAAGCAAATTATTTAAATTACAAACTGTCCCCCAAGTTGCCATAAATCTGAAAGATCAACAACAACAATGCCACAGAATACATAAAACAAATTTGCAACAAAGTTTTGCAGACAAAAATTATTTCAGCATAATCTAAATTTCACATCTCCAGTCGCATCCTCTGGCCCAACTCACAACTCACACGTACCTAGCCACATCAAAGTTAAAGCCGACCGGGTGATGCACACACACAAAACTTTCAGGCCATAAAATCTAGTTTGAAGATGCCAAACGTGTGGCCGTAGCGACTTAGCAAACAAAACCACACCAAATAACTAGCGGCAACATTTTTTTGCCGCTTCCCTGTTTCACTAGAAACTGAAAAGCAAAATGTTTTTAAGCCTCCAACAACGGGCTGACAAACAGGGAAACAAACACCTGGTATCCCATAAACACAAACATGCACACAAATAGAAAGTTGTAGAGCCAAACATGACAACCAGATATGAAAAGTGGACGCTACGATCTGGGCAACTGACGGCTGTGCCGGGCTGTACTGTGCTGGAGAGTTATGAGAGAAGGCTCGGCCAACGAGCAACATGCGGTTAATAATTTGAAAACCGACCCCAGCGCATGGCATGGCACCAATGGAGCTTAAAAACTTGTCACTCACGTGCGTCCCATAGTGTTCCACGAACAGCACAGCATGACAAAGACACAGAGCCACGCGAAATGCACTTGGAAAAAGTTTTCAATTACTCTTCCTGAATACAAAAGTATTGCAAAAAATAACCAATTTATAGTTTAGAATATTGTAATGCAAATTAAAAATCCTATCAAACCTATGTTTTTTGGGTCTTGTTTATAAAGTTTTCAGTTCATAAATTTAACGACATTTGGAAGTATTTTTAGGACTCAAAATTCGGCTTTTCTCATTCAGAAAGGGATTATTTATTTTTGTGAATATATTCATGTTAAACATTTACTTCTCCCAGAAAGCTTAGCTGTTTGATTAACTGCTAATTAACTGCAGGATATTTACTCTATTGGGTGATAAAGGATCTTCATTGGCATATTTAAATTTAATATTACATTGGAAATGAATACAAGCTCTCAAATATATTATTTATTGAATAAACTTGGCTCAGTGTAGTCAGTATTTTTCCATCCATCCATCTATCGATCAAAGATATGCAAAACAAAAAACCTTTCAACTTATATTTCATATACTACAAGTAGAATTTTTTTTGAATACAAACTTATGCTCGGTGTAGTTAGTAAGCTGCCTATTCGGCTTATTGATGCCCAGCCTCTGCCTGTGTGTGTGCCCTGGCTAAAATTTCATGACTCGCTCGTTGCTCTAAATGCCAGCCGTTTAATCTTTTTCATGGCAATGGGGCATTTGCCGTTAGTCATTGCCGACAAGCTGTTTTGTCTGCTCACAAATACATACATATATGTATGCGTGTATGTATGTGTGTGTTAACGGCTATGTTGTAGATTGTTTTGTCAAAAATGTTTGCATGTTTTCGGGGGCCGGCATGTTGTTTTTGATTTAAGAACAGCTTTGCATATCATGTTTTTAATATCAATTTAAGGCCAGTCGCCTGACGGGCACATGCGCTCAAAAGCATTTGCATACTTTTAGGCGCCACAAATAGTCACACAAACATTCGGAAAATTGAATTTTCTAGAAGCCACCTCCGCCCTCCCCACCAAATGAAATTCAACAAAGCGAGAAAACGAGCGGCCAACAGATGTTGCCGTCGCCATCGCCATCGCAATCGCACTTATGAATAAATATTCGCATACTAATTTATTAACGTTTCCGTGTTTTTCCCACTCACTTATTTTGTATTGGTGCCACTCTGGCTCGTTTGTTCGTTGCAGGACCTACAATCGGAAATTGAAACCCATCGTGTTGTTTACGATCGTCTCGATGGCACCGGCCGCAAACTTTTGGGTTCGCTCACCTCACAAGAGGATGCGGTTATGCTGCAGAGGCGCCTGGATGAAATGAATCAACGTTGGAATAATTTAAAATCGAAAAGTATTGCAATCAGGTAAGTGCTTTTACCCGTTTTTTTTTTTTTTCATTTTCCTAGCCATGCCGAACTGCCTTTGTTACCTCAGCCTCTGTTGCTGCCGAAGCTGCTGCTGCTGTTGTTGTTGTTGTTGCAGTAGTTTCGATGTTACCGTCGATGATGCTTGATATTGAGAACGAACGAACGAATGCCTAACGTTTAAGTAGTTGTATGTAGTTGCAGGAAGTTTTTCTAGTTTATTTTTTTTCGTTCTGCTTAAACGGACGTATAGTTGAGAGTTTGCATAAAGTGGCTAATGGCAAGCTGTACACAAAACTCGGTCACGGGGCGTATGAATAATATCAAAGCAGGCACTATAAATGGAGGTGGAGTCCTGCGCTATATTTGCAATACAAGTATATTTGATTTGAAATACGTTTTGATATTAGTTGATATTTATATTGTAAAATCGCTTCAACTTTTTCCAAAACACAACAAAAATTATACTTGTATTGTAATATTTAAACTAACGTGCGACTTCACTAGACAAATGCTGCCAAAATAATTTGAAGGATAAAATAGGAAGTGATTATAGTGTATACACTTGTATTTCCTATTGTGTTTTAGCTTGACGTAGCAGATGAAATATGAGAAAACCACTTATTTTTTCATTTCTTATGAAAAGAAGCTACAAAATACATAAAAAGAAATAACAAATTATGTACGGATACAGTAAGAAATATTAAAAGAACCCTAACAGAATTGAATATAAGATTCTTAGGGAAATGATCTATTGGCCTATCCTGCAAAAACTATATGTAATTACTTCCAGCACTAGTATTATGAAAAAAATTAAAATTTCTTCATGCTTTAAAAACACAATTCGATCCTTATTTCAATTTAAAGTAAGTTCAAAAAGAAAGCACAATTTTATCAAAAAGTTATTTGACTTACTTCATTAATCAAAGATCCTCGCAATATTGATTTCTTTTGTTAAATACCCAGCAGCTATAAAATTCAATTATATATGCTCTAGATGTAAAAGAAAAGGAAGCATTTTTCAACTTACTGCATAAAAACTCATTACTTGCCAATATTTAATTATGCTGAGCGTAAATACGAGCTGCCTCCAACCATACAAGTACATCCCTCACATATGAACACGAGGCTTTTCTTTATAAATGAATTTTTCGTTTGGACAGCTCTTCTTTGCATTGAATTGGCTGCTTTTCCTTGAGCCCACGTTTTTTCTTTTTTTTTTTTTGTCTGTTATTAAATAGCCTTAAAGTGTTTTGGCCCGGCTCTTCAGGCCGGCTCAAAGGGCGCCTGGCAAGCTGACGCGTTAATTAAACCAAATTAAAGTCAAGTAGTGTGCCACTTGCCAGAGACAACGTCGCCGTTTGTTGGACAGGCACTAAGGGCGGGTGCGGGTTAAGAGACTTTGTGTTGATGAAAATGCGAAAATAACAGTACAAACAAGCAGAGCAGCCAGCCTGACAACAACAACAACAGAAACAACACTTTACGCCTGGTCGGGCAGAAAGCCATCTCTGTCCCTGTCTCTCTCTGTCTGCCCGTCAAACGGCGTTTGTGACAACGAGATGAAAATCAATAAAAACGAAACGCGTGAAAAGTGCCGGAAACACACAGCCCTCTACATAGATGAGTGGCCACATGGTGGATGGGGGGCACGGCAGGAGAGAGTAATGGGAACTTATCGCACTGTGTCACTGTGTTTCTCGCTGCACGCGCCATTGATGTGGCCAATGCTGAGTCTGTGGCGGTGGCTGATGGAGTCCAGCAGCTGCCAACAATATGATGAAATCGAGTGCAAACAAGCAACGCTGATGTGTTGTCCACATCGTCCGTGTCAGCATGGACGTCACTGTTGTAGTTGGTATTGTTGTTGTTGTGTTTGTAATTTCCACATTTCATAAATAAAGCACGCTGGCTTATACAAATATTGTTGTTTTTGCTGCTGTTGTAACCAACAAAGTCAAAGCCCGCTGTATGCCATGGGTTGAAATGAATAATGATGATGATGCTTGTGGAATCATGGTGATGGAAAGTACGTCGCTGCTGCTGTATGTTGAAAAACAAGCGGTGCCATTATAATGAATATCAATGCCAATTATGTCCGTAATTCAACGTGACGTTTACGTACTTTCAATTTGACCGCCAACGCAAAAAAGTAGGCAATGCTTTTTTCACATTCCCATTTCGACATTGGATGTTTTACATTATTTCAAGCATTTTTCAATTTGAGCGACCACTGTCATAATATTGACAAATGACACCTTAAGTGCCGCGAACAACGTAGATGTGAACAACAACTCAGCTCACGGCCGTGCAGCATCGGTATTATGTTGGTATTCGACTGTGATGAGTAATGATGGTTGGCAGCCGACTAGAGATGAAAACGGTGGGCAATATGCTCACGATATAGAAATGAAGGCTTAGCTTAATATACATCTATTTATCAAAATTATTTAGAATTGTCTTTGACTTTATGTTTAAAATTTTTTAATTCCAGTGCAACATTAATGTCGTACTTCGAAATTTATTTATGAATAGAGATTCTCACGATATAGAAATAATAGCTTGGCTTAACATACTCGTTCATTTTCTATTTATTATAAATACTTAGAATTATCGTTGGCTGAATGATTCTTCTACTTTTGTATATTTTTAATACAACTTTAAATTAGTTTAAGTTAAATCTTAAATTTGTCTAATTTATAGCCATTTCGGTATTTATTTATTTGTTTAAATAAAGCTAGCTTAAAATTTCAGGGCCTTCAGCTAACTAGGTATGTAGATTTTAACTTTTTAAAGAAGAAAAAACAATAGAAGGATACATATGTATGTCCTAGACTTTATGGGATGTGTTTGTAGCTTTTAAATATTTTAATTTGAGATTAGAGTAGTGTATCGATGGGTTTGTAATTATAGTGTTGGGGCTAATGTTTGGGAGAACAAATGATATATGTGGAAGGGCATGAGGTGAGGATGTGTTCAACGTTTATAACGTGTTATTGCAGGAAGGGCAGTATTTAGATAGAGGTTTGTCTGTCTAATGTGTGTGTTAGTGAGGTATTTGTTCTGTTCTTCATAGGAGGTTTCGCGGATGGTTATTGTTTAGGTCAGGGACATAAATTATTGGCAAGTTCGATATTTATTTTTCTCCATGCTCCTTAATTTCTTGACATTTCTTTGTGTGGTTTTTGCGAAGTTTTTAGTCAGTTTTACTTGGTTTTAGTTTAGTTCTTGATTTCTTAGGCAGTTAATATTTATTTGAATTTCACCTTTCAAGTGCCTCCATTTCACTTTCTGGTCATTGGTCCATCTCTAGTAAGTGCCCCCCAGCTGGCTTCTGTTGTCGCCTCTGGACACTTTCGACGCTTTTGTTTGCACTCTCAATGCCAATGCTTGCGCGATTTTTCTTTGTCAGTCAGCGCCGGCCGCTTCCTTTATTTATTCGCCCATTGTTGGCATTTTGGCATATTTCCGTTTGCCAAACTTGGCCGCTTCCGTTTTAGCCAGCAGCAGAGCCGCACTCGCTTACTTCTATTTGTGTTGCTATTGCACAGATTTTCTAGCTTATAAATTCCTATATAAAATATTTCCCCGGCTGTTGCAGCAGGGACACACTTGAAAACTTTCTGCGATTCCTACGCTGTGTTGTATTAGCCAAGCTTTTGCTTTGACTTTGGGTCATTTATGTGTAAAGTTTTTCTTTGGCTTTGAACTTTTGTGTTGTTCTTTTTTTTCGGCGATTGTGTGTGTGTGTGTGTGTGTGTGTGTGTGTGTGTGTGTGTTTATCGTGAAACTTTGAACTGTGTCGTTTGTCTTTTGTTGAGCGGCGGCTACAGGTGTGTGAGCGGGCACATGGCTTGTCGGGTTGATTGCCGTGAAGATTGATGAACCCGCTTGATATGATGCTGCTCTGTTTGTTTTTCTTGGCTTGGCGGATGGCGATGTCATGTTTGGTTAGCTCTAGATTGCATTTGGGCGGATTGTTTGGTTAGGATTTTGGGAATATCTTTTACGTATTTTGCAAAAGTTTGGTGAATTAATGTGAAATTTTCCCATGTGGTGGATAGCTTTTGGCAGCACGCTTAGATGTGAGCTATTCCTATAATAAACATCGTATTAAAGGTTTCTTCAAAAAAAAAAAATACATTATTGTATAAACTATTCGCTTTAGGAAGTCTGAAGCTCTGTCCTAAACTAAGCCTTGAAAATTTATTTGGCAGACGCCATACAGACATTTCTGCGTAGCCATTTTCGCTTGATTGTCCGTTTGTTAGTCTATATTAAAGCATAGAATTGCGTAGTCGTAGCAGGTTTATTATATAGCATCATTATTTTGTATTCCTGCCATACGAAGGGTGGGTTCTATAGCGGAGGGTGTTATCAACGTTTGTACTATATGTATTATTCGAGTATATTCCGAAATTTTTGAACTTCGTTTATAGCAGCTATAGAAACAATTTGCTTTTTATATAATGTCTATATATTATTTTATTTATATTATATTTTTCATTAGATATAGCATATTAGTACATTACATTTATTTAATTGACTGCATTATTATAAAAGTATATTAATGTTTTAAGTCAAAGCTCTTTAAGCAAATAGAATTTTTAAATCAATATTAACTTATTGTTATTTTAATTTTTATTTTTTTTGCTGCAGTTGTGGAAAACTTAGTTTTGTTTACATTTGTGCATTGTTATCAGTTTTAGTTACAATTTTTTTTGGAATGGATTTCCAACGATTTCGGGTTACTATATTCTACTTCCATTTCTGAAGTTTACCGTCTTAGCTTTCATTTAATGTTCCCTACTTTAACCTCATTTTCTTCACATTTGTTCACCCCTTTGGTGCTGTCAAAAATTCTGCTGTGTTTTATTGTAAAATTGTTCATGCTCCAAAGTCTGTTATTAAACTAAATTATATTAAAAGGTCACGCTCATGCTTTATAATGAGTCGTCTTACACATATATTTAGGGAAACATCTTATTTAGAAAACTTTACTTAAGTCCCTTTATTTCTTCTAAAACTCTATACTTTTCTCCTGCTTGTCATTTGCAGTCGTATCCCCTCACTAATTGTCTTTGTCAGTCAGCTCCAGAAGTTGGCACATTAAAATCCGACCATGCATTACCATGAGCTCAGGAAAAGAGGAGAAAAACTTTAGTGAGAATGGAAATGCGAAAAATATTTAATATAACTTATTTCCCAGCGTATTTCCCGCCGCAAGTTATTTCTTTTATTATATGCATGAAAACACTGATAGAAAGAGAACGAGAGGGACAGCCGAGAAATTGAAAGCGCTGGAAGTGAGCAGCGTAACCCACATCTACATTTTGTGGATTCCCCTTTATGTCTACACCCACCCACCCGCGGCTCTGGGGCAGCCTCAATTACATACCCTGCCATTGCCATGCCTTTAATTACAAACGAACGCAAACAGCCGAAAAGCAAAAGAAAAAATATAATAATAAAGGAAACGAGCAAAGAATTTCGCCAAAGATAAACAGACAAAAGCACAATGCGACAAAGGCGACCAAGAGACAGACAGATGGTGGGACGGCGGACTATTGTTGGTTACCGGCGCAAGATTTTTCAGATTTCTTTTCCTGTAATAATAGAAGAAGAACGAAAAATATGCCCGAGATATGGCTACAAGTGTTGGACGGGAGGTGGGGGTGGGGGCTGGCGCGGCCAAATTAAATTGCAGCGCATTTCACAATTATGGCGACAGCTGAAATTTAGCATAGACGACAGACACTTGGGCCTGAGCTCCTGTCCTACTCCGCGGCCCGGCCCGGCCCGCCCTGTCCCGTCCCATCTGCCACATCATCGTCCTCTTTATCGTCGTTCCTTCCCATTGTGATGCCCTCTGGCACAGCGTGCTTAATAGACAGGCTGGAGGATCTCTTTGGGTTTGGGATTGTCAGCATCCTCGTCGTAGACAAATTGTCACTGACATTTTGCGGTCGTTGCATGGCCTGATAATCAACACAAGTTGGCCTCAGCTCCGCTAAAGTGCAAATTAAATTTAACACTCCTATTACATTTTTTTTAAATCCTGTTCATGGCGGACAATATTCTCAAACGTTGCCCGCTAATAAAAAATAAAAGCGTCTAGAAAGTTTGTTCATGCTGATTTTCTTGTTTGTTATTGCAGGAATCGTTTGGAATCAAATTCGGAACATTGGAACGCGTTGCTTTTGTCCTTGCGCGAGCTAACCGAATGGGTCATACGCAAGGATACGGAACTGAGCACCTTGGGTCTGGGACCAGTGCGTGGCGATGCGGCCAGTTTGCAAAAACAGTTGGTAAGTACAGCATAATTGGCCAAGTTGGAGAGGAGGACAATTGCACTTGGAGAAAAAATTGTATCAATTAATTGGTAGTCCCTATTGAAAATTATTTTATATTTTGTAATGAAGAGAAATTTGAAATCGTTATATGTTTTGCTGATTTTAATTTAATGATAAAAATTGCACGATTTTTGGCCGTTATTTATAAAACATTTGGACAAAAGCTTTAATTGAAATAAGCAATCAAATTTATTGAAACAAACAGTCTTCAAAAATGCTACACAAAACACATTGCCTTCTATTCTATATTTAACCAATTTTATAAGTGTTCGCTGTAATAAATGTTCTCAGTGTACTGTTCAAATCTGTGCCAACGACACACTCTTAACCTTTTCTTTGTCCTTATGCCCCAAAATTCATTTGTGTTGTCATGCCCAGAGCGCCAGCAAATGAAGAAAGGCACTGCACCTCAATTTGTGTGGTCCACCTAATTGTGTGGAAAGAAGAACACACATACACACACACACACACAAGCACTCACTTACACACATCTAAGTGTAGCATAATTTTAGGCGTTGCCTGTTTCAGTGCCATTTTCTTTTGGCACAATTTGCAAATTGTTTGCGAGTGTCAGCCCTTTTCCAGAAGGGAACTTTTATGTTCCATAAAGTGAGTGCCAAAGCGTTTCTTGCTGTATGCCTCAGCAATGCACTAAACAGGTCAGTGGGTTAAATAGTCACAGTAACAGCTTAAACAAATATTTAGGGCAGTAATTTAAGTGTTGCTTTTTAATGGAATTAGCAGTTTATTTACCAAATCATTATTTTAATTACAACTAAGCTGCTGCACATAATTCAAACATATTTGTCCCAAGTACGTTTCAGAGCCAGTTAAGCCCATGCAAATATTTGGTGATGTGCAGAGCAAACATTTTAATGAACATTGATGGGCTTCGACTATTTTAATTCATGAAATGTAGCTTTGATAACAAATTTGTATTAATTTGTGCATAGTTGCAAATAAAAGGTGTGTGTGCTTAGACTTATTTTTACAAATTAGCGTTAAAGCTTAATAAAAGCTTAAGATTCGAAATGTGATCCATACTCGAAAAAAGTGGTCGCCTTTCATGTTTCTGTGTAAACAGCAGCATATCTTTAGTAAGAATTAAGACCAACAATTGAATTAGATTCTGAGTTTCTTTAAGAGACAAGCATTTTTTCTGTATAAACAACATTTGATGACTCTGCTAAAAATATATTCTAGAGTTAGTAAAAGGTTCAGCTTTGGAATGCAGCTCACCCACCCTTTTGTAATTAACACCAAGAAGTTGCAAAACTAAGTCTGAGTGTGTGATTTAAATGCTTTCGTATATTAAAAAGGATTTCAAATAAAGTGTCGCTCGAATATCAAACCTTTTTTTGTACAAGTATAATAAAAACTTTTTGTAAATTGTAATTATCTAGACATTATTGAAGCTGGCATTTATAATTTATTTACTCCTTCACAAGAGCTTGCCAACATCATATTTATTGGCCTGCAACGGTCTAAACAACCTTACTGCATTAATTAAGAGCCACAAACTACAGTTGGGCAGCTCGTTCGTGAGCAGCATATGAGCATACAAAATTTGTGGAGAAGCCTCTAAGTGTTTGCCTCCTCTTCTATGGCAGCACTAGCACCCATATCAAATGGTTTAATATCCATATCCACATTAGTTTACTTTATTTGCGAGCACCGCCTTCAAGGGGCCATATCTCTAGGCAGACGGACGGATGGATGGCCGGCCGGCCGGCGATTCCATTGAACAAACTGCCCAGCTAACTGGACCCTCTACTGTCGACTGTTTTTCCCCGCTACTAGATCTAGTGGTCCTTAGAATTCTTAAATAATTGTTAAATGATGCTTGTTACGTCAAAAACATGCACTAGCACTCTCACACACACACACACACACACACACACTGACTAGCACACTCGCACGCCCACTTACACACTCATACATATGTATGTAGGTATGTTTGGTACTCGCGCGCCGGAAATCACTTAAGGGTTTGTTAAGGAAGAAGGAAAGAAAAAAGATGCCAAGATGCGAGGCAGGCGCAGCAACCAAAAATGGAAAAACACTGTCTAACACAGCATGGGCCACTCGAAATTCACTTACCCCTAACACACACTCATGCACACACACACACACACTCACACCAACAAAACACCAACACCCACACACTTCAGCACCACCCGTGGTCGTTGGCGATGAAAAAATGAGGCAACTTTCACCCCCAGTCCTGTAAATCTATTGCCAGCCACTAAGTTACGGTCTGCCGGACATTTACATTTCGGTTTGAAGATTTCTCTCCTCTTTTTTTCCGGCCAAATTGTGGACGCTGAGCACACTAAATGGTCCGAAGGCCCTTGGCTGTTTTGGCTCAACATACAAAGCATACACAAACACACCGCCTTACATATTTGAGTTGGTATCGAGGCAATAGCATATCGCTCGCTTTTTTTATATTGTTGCATTTTTATTTCTACACTAAATGCATTAAATGCGAAATTTATTGCAACGCGCATTCGACTCTTGACTATTTTATGATATTTTATGGAGCCCGAGGCCGGCGACGTCTACCACTTGACCACTTGAATTGCTTGACCGGCCACTCGCGCATTGTTGCTGCCACGAATACATAGTATATAGTACTATAGTGTATATGAATGTGGGTATGTGTCTTTGTGTAGCAGTTGGTTGGTTTATTATTGTTGTTATTGCCGCCTCGTACTTTTGGGCTATTTTAGTTTATGACGTTCGTTGCACAGAAATAACCTTTTGAGTTTGTTTTGTGGAGCCGCCGCAAGGAAACTATTTTATATATCATACTTTTTCTTTTCTCTATATATTTATGGCTGCTTCATTTTCAAATAAATAAATCTCTTTAGCGCTGACTGCATTTTACTCGCGGTACCCCTCTCTCCGCCCAACTTGCCTCTTCTTTTATCCTTGTTATTCATCATGACTTTTCGTTCTTTTTTGTGTTGCAGGACGATCATAAAGCTTTTCGCCGTCAATTGGAAGATAAACGCCCAATTGTTGAGAGCAATTTAACGAGCGGTCGTCAGTATATAGCCAGCGAGGCGCCCGTTTCGGATGCCAGCGATACGGAGGGTAAGTTTAATCGAAATTGTAAGTCAGCCATAAAAGTTGACACTATAAATCAAGCATAAATACAGCAGCATTTAAGTTGAAGCTCAGCAGCATCGATAGAAGCTAAAGATATATAATACTGATCTGTAATCACCTGGAAATAAATTTCAAATGTTTTTTGCTTAAAAAATATTAAGAACTTCATGTGATGAAACGTGCTCATTTGGTCTGATTAAATGAGTTGAGGCTTATATTTAAATAGAGCCTAGTTCCAGGATGCCCCCCGACACCTACACTTGTGATCACAACAGCGGCACTTGCCCAGCCCAGCATTGCAGGATAGTGTTTGCTTCGTATTTTTAACAGGTGTAGAATCTAGCCTTCTTTCACTTAAAAGCACCACTCTGATGTTATAGTTATGCCTTCATTTTAATATCGTGCCGCTATAGAAAAATATTATACGGTAATCCTTCCTTAAAATCCTTAAAACAAATACCATTGACCATATTAGAGCCGCAATCATCATCGAAGAAGCATGAGATCAAAGTCAAGAGTTCTTGGGAAAGATCTTAAATAAAGAATAGAATGAACAAAATACAAAATATTGCTGCTGTGGCAAGCATATGCGGATACATATTTAAAGCCTTTGATTTGAAGACCTCTTACTAAAAACATAAAAAATCATCAATTGATCTATTTTTTGGTTATATTCTTTAAAAAACTCTAAACAAAGCTCGAACTATTAATTACAAACCAATTAATTATTAATTAGGTATGGATTAGTTTTATAGATTTTCTTACTATTGGAATTTATATAATAATATATAATAATATAATTTATATTTTATAGGAATATTCGTATTCAGTAAAATTATATATCTTATCCATCTTATTATGACATCGTTAGCTTTGCAGATTTAGTGGCTGTCCAAGCCCAGTAGGAAGATTTTTTGTGAACTGAGTACTGCGCATTAGTTAAGAACTCTAAACTTTCGCAATACTAATTTTTAAATTTTGGTTTTTTAAAGAATCTAATCAGCAAAAGTGTTTTTTGCATATTAATTAATATTTTCAAAATTCAAGACTTGATTCAAGTTTAAAGAATTGTTTAGAGATGTGATTTTGGTATCGCTGGAACGTACTAGCCCCAATTATATATTTTAAATTAAACAGGAAATCCTAATAAATGTTAATAATACCTATATTATAAGAAAAAAACAAAAACAAATACAGGTATAAAAACATATACCTGTTTGTTTTATTTATTTTTAGAATAAGCTTAGACGCAAGCTTCTAATATTATTGATTGGCTTTCACATTCGTTCAATTTGTTTGCTGTACATGATTGCTTTTATAAGCCAATCAATCAGGTAGCCTTTGCTGCTTGTGTAAGCATTCAACAATTAGAGCGTACTAAACACCCCATAGCCAATTTAAAAGAATTTGTGTGCACTTAAATGCCAAGAGCACAAACAACAAGCAAACAACAAACAGCAAGCAAACAAATGAAAAAATAGAAATAAAAACAAATCAAAGATCCCAGCAGCACACGCACAAAACAAACTCGCTGTAAGGATTCGCTTGAACTATGCAACCAAAAAGCTCAACAATCCACACAGCACACAGCACACACACACACACACACACAGCACACACTCACCCACGCAAAAATACACACACACGCAGACACTAACTCATTCATTCACAGCTAAAGCGGTGGCTGGTACGTGAGCGCTGTTGAAAAGCCGTTAGTTTCGCCTAAAAGTAGACAACTGTTGTGCAAGGCTTAAGCCCCCAGCCGCCTTGCCAATTGATTTCGAGGCCCCAAAAGGCACGACACCCAATTTTGGCCATCGTACACTTTTAATGCCGCCTCTTCCTTTTTTCAGATCGTTTCGGTTTAGTTTTATTTTTGTGTAAGCTGTATTTAACAATTTACCAAATGGATGTCTATCTATGTGTGTGTGTGTGTATGTTTCGAGCTCACAATAGAGACGGCCACAGGAACAGCCACCCTAGTGGTTGCCACAGCTACAGTTACAGCCACTGGCAAAAGGCGTCAACGATAATTGCGGCCAAAGCAATTAGTGCGATTAGTGCGCTATTAGTGCCAGTCTGGCATCATTGTGTGTGTGTGTGTGTCTGTATATGTATGTGTGTATATATTCACTGTTAGCTGGTTTTATCTAACATTTGATTTTAGCCATTGATGTTTATTTTGTGGCTCAACATTTGTTGGCTGTCTGTATCTGTGTGTGCCCGAGTGTGTGTGTGTGTGAGTTTGTAAGTTTTCATTGCATTTCCGTGGCAAACAACCAACAGGGCTGTATTAATTTTTATGATTATTGCAATTAAATATTAGAGCATCGTTGGTTTTATAGCACGAACTAATTATTTCATTTGTTCGCTTTTTTCTGTGGTCTTTGTGGTTTGACACATGCTGTTGCGATTAATTGAATTTTTTAGCAATTGAAAAGTTTTCCAATGAGAATTGTTTTAATGATTCAACTAATTCCATATTAAATACTCACTGTAGTGACAACTAAAGCATATAAAAAATTGTAGAAATGGCAAGAAATTGTAGTTTTCTTCGTACATCTTCAAGCTCGTCTCATTTATATTGCTAATTATATTATAACTTTTAACGGAAAATGTTGTAATTATTTCTTAAATTAAGTTTAGAAATTATTTCAAAACAGTGCAAATTTCAAAAAGGAAATATCTAGGTGAATATCTCTGGCAACGCAAAAGAAGAAATCATTACCCAAAATCTGTCTGTGGATAATAGGCCTTTAATATGCTGATATGTGCTTTTGATATTCAATTGAGGTTCCTAAAATCGTTTTTGTGGACAAATTGAAATGTTAAAAACAAATTAATTTAGTATATCTTTTACTATTTACTAAATATTTATTCTCAGCTCAGCCATAACAATAAGTTTTTTGTTTTATGGAAATTATTTTGTAAAAGTTGTTCTTGCAAAGAAAAATAATTAAATTAATTTCAAAATCATTTTATATTGTTATAAAAATAACGTATCTTAGCTTTTAGTTTGAATTTGAAATTCCCCTTTATTGCCTTCGGGTTTTAAATCATTTCTTAACTGTGTATAGGCTTTTGAGTTTCCTTTTGCAATACTGTCGTCCTCCTCGCTTTTTACTCTATAGTATAAAGCTTCTTCAAATCTTAATAAACATAACTTTACATCAAATCATTGCACATATTCCAGAAGATGTGACTTTCCTTCTTTTTTAAGCATAGAGATTAGAGATTATTGAACAAGGACTATCAGACTTTATTCCTGACAACAATTTTGGAATCTGTATTGGCGGTGTTTCAATATACGAACTCAAGCTCTCGTTTCCCATACTGATTTATTTATAATTTAGAGAATAAGATTGACATTTTACGACATGCCTTGATTGATTGATTGATAAATCTTATTTATCTTTACTAATTGCTTTATTATACATACATAAATAGCAACTAATTCGCAATTTAGCTTCATTTTTTAATGTTTCTGATTTTAATTTGATAAATGTGTTTTTGTATGCATCTTCCCTTCCCTAAAATAGTTTAAATAATTTGTTTTTTGGTATGCTTGCTAAGCAATTCAGATTTCGTCACTATGTTGTGGAACATAATTTTATTCAAAAGGGGTGCCTATATTTCTTAAGGTGCACCATTTTGTTTATCATACCTCTAGTTGGCATATAATAGAATTTATTTACGGACAACAATTTTATGCATTTTTATTGATTATGTTTCAATTTTTTAGATCAGAGATTTTTATTTATTAGGTATTTCTCGAACTAAGTAACTAAACTAAGATTATTCGCTGCTTATTTTGACTAATAATTCGCACTACTTGTCGTTGCTTCAGTTTCGTAAATTTATTTATGTGAAGACACTATTTTCGTAAACTTGAACTGTAGAGCTTTAAAATTAAACTTGTGTTTGTTTTGAAGTTGTACTTTTATTTTCTTCGAATATTTTACGCATTGGTAACTATTCTACACTCTCTCGCACTCTCCCGATTGATTTCCACACGAACTCACAAATAACAAATTTCATCTGTGACGAAATTAAATTTCACTAAAAAGTCAGTCCTCTTGGTCCAACTTATGCCCTGCCCCGCTGTCTCTGTGAAAGAAAAAGTCGCATAAAATATTGAAATCCATGCGAAACGAAAAGTTGAACAACTGTCTGTCAGCTCTTTTCAGCGAGTCTGTCAGTCAGTCAGTCCCGCAGTCATTCCGTCATGCAGTGGAGCGAGCAAAAAGTAGAAAACAACGACACGATAAACTCAATCTTTAAATTGAATTTGAATGTTACAGCAACACCAACATCAACACCAACAACAACTGCCCGCGAAACTTGTCGCTGGCAAAGAATTTAACTCGATATTTGCTTAGCGTCATATTACCAGCTGTCCACAGACGTAACAGCGGGTCCTAAAAGTTGTTCACTCACTGTCTGTTGGACTGTCTGCCTGTCTGCCTGACTGCCTGACTGACTAGCTGGCTGTTCGTCTCCGTCCGTGCATTAAATTAAATTCAGATTTGCTCAACTTTATCCTGATGCTCGTATCGAAGTTGCCGGCATCCGACTTTCGTGCATGTTTGTATTGGCTTTGCTGTTGTCGTACTTTTTCGTGTCACTGTGCCATCTAACTGCCCGTTGCGCTCGCTTGCCTTTCTAGCTGCCACTTGTCACTCTCTTACCCATACTATCGTCCCCTTCTTCCTATTCATCCTTGGGACAGGACTGTGTGTAGCTTCGTCTTGGGCTGCCACCACATGCGCATCAGTTTGTCTTTCAAATTTCATGACATTTTTCTTGTATATTGGTTGCTGGTTAGCTTTGGTTTTTCCTCTTGCCAATGCTTATTTTACTAAGCGATGGGAAAAATGGCTTTTCGAATGTTTGGCTTCGCATCGTATGGGTTGTACATTTTTTCCCCCCCTTTCCGTTTCAGTCCTTTGTTATTCGTCTCTTCACTTTTTTGTGGCCACTCACAAGCCACTGAAATATTCAAAAGTGACTTAAAACAGCTACAGTTAATCCGCAAAGTGTATGCTTTTTGTTGAGCCCTAATACCCCGTCCAAGCAGGGCAGAATAAAAGAAAATATTTTTATGATACTACTGCTTTTCACGTTAACAATTATACACTTAAAGAAAGAAGATATGCAAATTAGTAATACTATCGTCGAAAAATTAAGCATTACAGATTGACAATGCTTTTCTTTTTCATTTTTCAAACAAAAATAGAGCGCATTTAATTAATATTTCATTAAAATTAATTAATTAATTAAAATTTCATCGAAATGGAATAGTAAGATAATCAGGTCTATATATATTCAAATGCATAATTTCTTCCTTTCTCTTCACAGTTCTTTTACAATTGTCAGACAGACTCATTCGTACATGTAATAGATTTCAATTATTTTAAATATAATTAATAATTAACTGTGTATTTAATATTTTGAGATAAAACAGATCCGATTTAGTCAATGATGTCGGCATAGACGAAGATTTAATCTCAATCAGCAGATCATTATGAGGCTTGGCTACTCATCGTTCATCAGACCTTTTAGTGTAATTTTTCCGACTGACGATTTATACTTTCCTTTCATCTTACAACTCCTCAGTACATTTTGTGGACCAAATACTTGTACGTTTGTGTTTGGTTCTGCAATAAAATATATTCAAGTTACACCAAGCATTAAAATGCATTAAATATCAATGTAAATATTTGGGGCTATTCAACTCAATTGAACGGATTTTGTCTTAACATAGAGTTTTAAAATTACCATTAATTCCCACAATAAAGTAATGAAAAATTGTATATTTAGAATTCGGGGCCCCTAAGATACAAATCAACACAGCATTTCCGGAAACATCTGTGTTTTTACGAAATAGAGTTTAGAATTCGGTTTAGATTGCAACGGAAAATGAAATACAGATGTTTGGAATTGAAAATTCTCAAGCACGGATTTTAAAAGTCACTTCATCGATCTCTCAACACTGCTTAGTGCCATATTTTCAATTGCTCTGCACGGGTAATGGAATAAAAACCGAAACTAATGTAAATGAAGATATTTTAAAAACAATTCTTTTGTTAGATGACTCCCAATACAATATTCAATGCAGTGGCATTAAATTGATGTTTCCTGATTCAATTGCCTCCTTTAATCACTCCCTCACCACTGCCCGGCTATTAAATCACTTTGCAATTCCTCATCAGCTACATGAGGGACCGCTCCTTTGTTCTTCAGCTGTTCGCTCACTCATCCATTACATCCGCAACAGCAATTTATATTCAAATATTTACTCGACACTTACACAACGTGCAATTATTTTATTGCAAATTTAATCACTGCGTGCAATCAGAGTAATCAGAGCTGGCACATCGACGCCACTGCTCATCAGCATAATCATCGTGGCTCCTGTTTTAGCCAACAATTATGGTGTAGGTGTGTGGGGGGGGAGGGGATCGGGTCTGGCATTAAAAGTCATAATATCATTTCTAATTCATAAACTTGGCTGGGAACAGAACGTGCCCGGGCATTGAGCCTTCAAATTGTGCGCGGCAATTGTGTTTTTCCTTTTTTTTTTCGTGCATTACACATTTGCCTGCCAGTCTGTCTGCCGATTTTACTGATTTTTGTTTTTGCTGTCAATTTTCTACTCCCTCTTACAGCCGCCCATGATTCAGACTCCCGTTACTTGTCGGCTGAGGAGCAAAGCCGGGAGCTGGCACGCAGCATACGGCGCGAGGTGGCAAAACTTTCGGAGCAATGGAACAATCTAATCGATAGATCTGACAATTGGAAGCATCGTTTGGACGAATACATGACGGTAAGTCTGCCTGACTCTTCCTTTCTACATTCGTCCGACTGTCAGTCTGGCTGCCTGTCCGCCTGTCTGCCTTTCCGTCCTCCTGACACGCTGCTACACATAAAAGTTACATTTTCATAATTTTCTTATGACTTGAATGTGCCGTTTTCCTTTTCGTGTCTCTCTTTTTTTTTTTTGTTTTTGCCAAACTCATGATTGGACCCAACTGAAATGTGAATTGAGTCATTGGGGCGCACGCCGGCGTGACTTTTCGGGGCATAATTTTTATAGCTCGCAATTTGTTTTTAAGTTAAGTTGAGTTCCGAGCACGAAACGCGAGCAACTTTTCGGTGCAATTATTTGCGACGCCCTCAACTTTTGAAGCAGCAATTTAAAAAGCAATTTACGTATATTTGTAATTCAATTTTCTGTTCGACACAACCAAATCAATTTGACTTCTTAGGCTTAAAGAATTTAAATTCGAACAATTCGTTTTCTCCTTTTAAGAATGTCTTAGAGAGACATACTTGTATTTGCAGAAAAAGTATCGTTTTAGTATCGCTCTTAGTATATAATCAAAGAAAATAGTTTGAAATCTCTAAATATTCCAAACGTCTTACTTAGTGACGGTCACACTCGCAAATAATTTTCGTGTAAGTTAAGCGTATTTTAAAAGTAAACCGAAACATACTTTGTTGCAACAGAAAGCAATATTTGAGTATAGAATTTTTCTGGTTTCAAGTCAAAAAACATAATTTTCTTGACACGAGTATACTTGTAACATTCCATAGACTTGCGTGCGAATGATATGCTTGTGTGACCGTAGCTGTAGGATTTGATGAGTTTATACCTACAATTAGAAAAGTCTATAGTAACTATAGGCTAAGTTTTTCCCCTGAAGCAATTCTCAAGAGCTGCAAACAGAAGATTAATTATCTTCGTTTATTTTTATCTGTATACAAGTATTTATATACGAGTTTCTGGTCGCCTGCTTTTTCAATGATACCTGCTCTAAATAATTTATCGATAATTTATTAAGCTAGAGTGCCAAGTAGCAATCGAAATTATTAATATTTATGTATTTAAAATTTAATAACTGTCCAGATCTTAAATAAATATTCTAGATTTTTAAAAATATATTTCTAAAATTATTGCAACTATCACAAAATTTATCATTTTAATGTTATTTCATTGATCAGCCACTCGGCGAATGATTGAATAGTGGTAGGAAGGTTTATATTCTTAGATTCTCTGACAAAAGCATCGATATTATATGGAGAAAATATAGGAATTATGTTATGTTATATTAGTACTTATAGCAACCACATTCAGGTATAGACAAGTATCTGTGTACAATGTACAGTTCTAAAAAACATAAAATTTTGTGATGATCCTCGATAACGAGTTATCGAACATGCAGTTCCAACAAGCTTTGTAACAGTTATTTATTCTAAACACAGACTAGCCTGATTTACAACTTATAGGTTTCTAAATCAGAGCAGTCTTTCTTAGTTAGTTGTTTAGAAAATGTACATTGTATATTGTATGTATATTGAATCATCACATCAGCAAAAAGTTATACATAAATATGTTTTCTATGCTTTGATTTTATCATGAAAATTCTTATATTCTTTATTCAATTACATTTAAATAAACACATAAAAAAGCAAACAACAGGGATGAAAGAAAAACAACAACAATTTTCAATTCACAACATACAGAGAAGCGGCTGCTTCTGTTATCCTACATTGAGAAAAAGCTACAGCAAAGGGCTTTGATTCGGTTCTGTTATGGCCAATAAATGCAAGTGTGTTTTTTACGGCTACCCCTGCCCCTAACTGCGATTGGATTTATAAAGACAACAACAAGAACATTTTGCCACAAATGTGACAGCATAAGGGAAGCTCAACTCGTTACTCAGACCCAGCGCGAATTTGATGAAAACACTCACACATACAAAGTTGCCGCATAAAAATGTCACAGCGCTTGCAGACAATGGCAAATGCTATATATATACACACACATACATATATACACGATGTGGGCGTGGCCAGGGGCATTCCAAGCTCTCGCATACGTACAATGTATAAAATATCAAAGCGCATAAAATGCACATATTGTATGCGTTGTCTGTATGTGCTTCTTTTAGGCAACGCAAAGCAAAAAAATCTGAAGGAAAATCAATACAAAAACGATACATGCTGAGAGAAATGACAAAAGGCAATGCCATAAAACGAAGAAATATGCAGACGGACAGACATCTGTACGGACAAACACAAAGTGTTGCTGACTTGGCGAGGGGAGGTCGCAGATCAGGCAATAGAAAAATATTTGCAACAAAGTACGCATAAGTGCGCATAAATAGGACCACTGATGGTTTTAGAGTGTGGTCTGCTGAAGAAGGGGACAAACAACAAATCAATTCACTGCTCCAAGATGTGTGTCAATATATAAATAAATAGTAATATAATAGATTTGGTAATCTCTAATCTTTTACAAAGCGATCGTACATACAAAGTGTTGCCATTAATGAAACATTCAAAATTATGGATTTGAATCGTATTCAAAATTTAAAAAGATGAAGCATTAAAATAAAAAAATATTCAAAGAAAATCTACTTAAATAAATAAATAAATCAAAAAGATAAATTTATAAAGTCAAAAATATTATTTGAGGTTTGTCATTAAAAAACAATTAATAAATATTGAAACGGCATCAAAAATGGAAAAGCTATTAAGAAAGACGTTATAATATAGGAAAAAGCAAACAAGTATTATAGTATGTGTAGAAAGTAGTGTAGTATTTGAAATATGTACAAAAGAAATAATACTGAAAAGTTGATCGTCTCCCAATTAGGCATCGGTATTAGTCAGAAATTAATATCACATTGAGATGATATTGTACTATATATCCAGTTTGAATATCAAAAAGGTTTAAAGTAATATCTCGTATTACTTTTAAAAGACATTATTCAAATATCGATAAATAATCATTATCATTATAATCGATTATATGAAAGTATTGAATTGACATCATATAAATTATCGATTTGGGTAATTGATAATTGGCATCAGAGTTCTATTATTCCATACTCATATACATTAGATATTTCAATATGTATGTAAAAATAAAATTTCGAATGTATCAAATAATTAATGTTATTATAGTATTCTACACTCATCAAATATATTAATATTAATATATTAGAAAGTAGTAGTTGTCCTTAAAAATCAAGGATTGAAAACGTATCGATATATCGTATCGACATCCACCCAGGAATTTATATTATTTTTCAATTTTGTTTAGATTTACGTTAAAATATTAAAACCATTCCATACTCCCTAGCATAAATTGTATTCTAAGAAAAAGTATGCATGGCAAATGCTTCAGCATCTAAGCGGCATGCAGAAGCAGACTTAGTTATGCAAAAAGTATTTTTTTTTTTTGTGAAAATTACTTGCAACAAATCTGAAATGCTTTGTTTAAGGCTTCAACATGTAAAAGGCTTCTCAGTCAAGTCTTATTGGTACTTTGTTTTTTTTTGCCAAGCAATCGAAACAAAACATTTTAGCTCTGAAAACGAAAATCGATATTTCAAGTAAAGCTTTTCGAAACACAAATAATTCCCCACATTTGCAGGCCTAGGTATGTACTTGTGTTTACTTTTTGCTGCCTGCCATATTTGCAGCCATTCATTGCTCAAAAAGCAGCTTTTATTTTTATAAATTGTACATTGGGGAGCACTTTGCATTTTATTGGGTCAAATTTTATGTGCCGAGAAGACTAGAGACAAATCTAGGCATTTGTTGTAAGTCGGCTAGGCTGGGAAATTGGCTTCAATTGAAAAGAAATTGTTGACCTATATACGAGTATATGGCAGTTGGTTATGCTGCCCAAATTAAATTTTGGAAATAGATATGAAAATGTTCAAAGAAAACTGCAAAGCAATTGCTGAAGACATCACAAATTACTGAAAATGGCAGAAAATGCATATTTTCTATAATCGTGCATTAATTGGAAAAATTATGAAATATTTTAAGTGTTTCCCTTTGATGGGTTTAATGTCGACGAGTAACATTTAAATTATGGTTTTTACAGCCATTGCAGTGCAACTGACTATGAAAATACTACTTAATGTTAATTTTTTATGAAATGCAAACAAAAGCACCTGAAAAATGAAAATACGAGCAAAGTTTTTCAACTATTTTTGCATCAAACATCCTTTTTTTTTCGTGCTTCACAAAAATGTATTTTTAATTTTATGCTGTGAAAAGCATACGCCAGGCAGGGAACTTTGGCTGTATATGTATGTGTGTGTATTCAATGTATGTGTGTGTGAGAGGTCGTTGGGCCGCAGAAACTACGACTACTCTGGACATGTACCGACAAAAACTGATAAGAAAAACTTTAACAAAATTAACAACGTGCAGAAATAAAAATAAAAAGTTTGTAGCACAAAAAAAAAAAGAACAGAAAGAAGGCAAAGCTGAGAGAGGGAGAGAATGCATACAAAAAGTTTAAATAAATGCAACTTAAAACAATTACAAGGAAATGTGGCCAAAAAGGAGAAGCAGAAAATTAAATAAAATGGAAACTTGTCGTTGGGAAAAATGAACGGTTTATAGTCGTAGTTTGTGAAGACAGAAAGTAAATGAGGCAGCGGAGCTGGCGAGTGTGTTAAATGAAGCAGCCTTCAACTACTACTAGTTGGCATATAAATTCCATTGCTCCAGGGTTGCCATCGTTCCCGACACTGTGCATTGACCGCACGACCGCATCTCGTGGGAAATTGAATTCTTTTCGCCCTCGATTAATTAAACGAACGTTTTTCCGAAACTTTCAATGCAATTTGCATTTGACAATTTTTTGCATGTATTTGAATGCTGGCTTGCAGGCCGCCATAGGTTTTTAATATCACGCATACGCCATGGATGCGTATCCATTTAAATTTGTGTGCTCTGCAGCCGGATTTCGTTCTATGAAGAGCAGCATGGTGTTAAAAAAAACCGCTGACATAAAAT